TATATATATATATACACAGAGAGAGAGAGAGAGAGAGAATGAGAGAGAGAGAGAGTTATAGATATATGTTAATAATTTCATAAAATAGTAATTCTTCTTTTTTTAATCTATATCTATATACCTTATTTAGCAAAGCAGATATAAAGCTACTTCCATGCATTTACTAGTTAACATAATTGTCATGGTCCGGAATTTGGTTGACATATTAAAAGACACCGTGAATGCCTTGTGTTTATGGTAAACATACAGCCTCCATATGCTCAGTGCTTAAGGGAGTATCGTTAAGATTTCGTAAAGGAACAACAAAACATTGTAGCATTGATTTTACAAGTATAACTTTTTTTGTATTCTTTTCTTTACTCATCAATAACTGGCTTCTAAGAAGAATGCATGTACATAATTCATTTAATATAAAATATAAGATTTTTATTTTGCTTTGACATATGTGTGTGTCAGACTTTAAAAATGCAGGTACATAATTAATAGTTTATCCTTTCAAACGTAACTTTTCCTTTTTCTTTATGAGTGTGTTTGCTCGCACGCATAAATAACAAAATAATTGTCGCACAAGCTATAATTTTCTGTGCAAACTTGGCTTCCCTTTCTAATAATACTTTTAATTCAAAAAGTTTATTTTTCCTACTCTCTGCTGAAAAAAAATACACTGAATATCCTTGCACTGAGCTCTTTTTTTTCCCCCCAAGTCACCGACTTTTCATCATATTGCCGCAGCAATATGATGAGGCCCTTCAAACTTTCTTTTTTTATTTCCAACTGACAATTTGAAAAAGAATCCTGTCTAGTTTACATTTTCACACTTCATTACATGGGAAACACAAGTGCTACTAACAGATGGGCACCCTCTTTTGAAGGGCTGACAAGGGAAAATATAACAGGCCTATTCAGTGTGGAGACAATTCTGTGATTCGTAATTGAGCTGGTACCTTCTCTCTTTTTTTCTTTCCTTAAACTACTGTAGAAAACAGTCGCTCAAGACCCTAGAAGTGTGCATATGAAAGTCGTTACTGATAAAAGGATTACTAAGCTGAAGAGGGTCGCTCTTCAATTGTTTTATATTATTTTTAGTAATTAATAGGTATATGATTTTGATCTCTGTTACTCGCTGTCAACGTATGATGAGAGTCAATTATCTGCAATTGAAAAGGTATGACTTTTTTATAAGAAGAAAAAGTTCTTAATACAGAGCGTTTAAAAAAGGAAGATTATAAAAAGGGTTGGAATGTATCAGTGCATTCCTTTGCATATTTTAAGCAAGGCCAAACCTTACGCCCATAAACACTGCGCTAATAGAAAAATGGTGCCCTGCATATGATGATTTCCCCCCCCCCCTTTTTTACTATGTTGTTTGTATCTCCTT